TCAAAAAAAAAAAAAAAAATCAGATATTTAAGAAAGAGTATATGACTTCCTTAAAATTTCTAACATACATTATGGTTGAATAATAAAGTTTGATTTTGTTCAATCCAAGTGGGGGTGGAACACTCAGGAATAAAAATTCTGCCCTCAAGAAGGAAACAGCCTTTAGGCTCAGTGAGAAGGTAGAGACCGTCTTTAAATGCTCACATGGCACCTTTCCCACCCCTCCTTTTCTAAGAATCGGTCACTCTCTGGTGTCTGGAGACTGCTCTATAAAGATTTAGCATAACACAATAATCTTTTAGCTCCACAAAATGCAAGTAAGTCCTGATATTTTTGTTTCTTTGTTTGCTAGGAAAAGATATTTAACCTATCTTTCTAAAATACTAAGATTAATTTTGTATATTCTCTCACAATCAGCTTCACCTTAACAACTTGGTTTTTGTACTAAGGGAAGAGCTTTGCTGCCCTGGCATTTGGCACTTGAAGTGTTAACCGCTATGACGAAGGCCACCATCTGTTCTTTCAGCACATGACAAGCTGAGGTTATCTCCACATAAAAACAGTCTCCTTTGCAACAGATGGGATGCTTCCCAAGCCCTTCCTCACTCTCCTTCCATGCTTTTTTTGGATTGGTTGCTTTTTGATTATTCAAGGAATCAGCCAATAGGAGTTAACACTCAGAGAGCAAGGATGAAATACACACAAAGGCAGGCACAATGGCTGATAAGAATCAGAAATTACTAGAGAGCAAGATGAAGGCCAAGCGCAGACCCTACAGAATGCTATTTCCATTAAATAAATATCTACTTACAACACCTCATTTGGCAAATGAAAATGATTCCTTCACTCTACTACTCTCTTTATTACACTGTGACCCACGCTCTCAGAGCTCCTGACAGAAGGAGGAGCCTAAGATATAGACTTTCTATGCACCTTTACACAGCCTCACCTGGGATTCATATGGGAGAAACGCAATGTTGATTTCCGTCAGAGTTTTGATGACTTTTGCGGCTCGCGATTTTACCAGCTCATTAAACAGGGCATCTGGACAAGCTGCAAGAATCACAAAATGCAGTCAGCTTTCCTGTCCATTTGCTGGTCTACTGAAAGGCTGCACATATCCAGTGGATTCCTTATTTTACGAGGTGCAGTAGCATCATCACAGCTCACTGTAACCTCCAACTCCTGGGCTCAAGTGATCCTCCTGCCTCAGCCTCATGAGTAGCTGGGACTATAGGCTCTTGACACCACACTCACCTATGTTTGTTTTTTTTTCTATTTCTGGGAGAAATGGGGATCTTGTTCTTGCTTAGGCTGGTCTTGAACTCCTGACCTCAAGTGATTCTCCTGCCTTAGCTTCCCAGAGTGCTAGGATTATAGGCATAACCCACCACATCTGGCCTTCATCAGGATTTTTAAAAGGCAACTAAGAAGTTCATTCCATCCTAAAATGCCCAATACTTCTTCAGTATAAAAGCAATGTAGGCTCGGCGCCTATAGCTCAACCAGCTAAGGCGCCAGCCATGTACACCTAAGGTGGCAGGTTCGAATCCCCAGCC